TTGGCGGTAACCATAATGGTGTTCGAGTAGATCATCTTGTGCGCGGTCGAGAACCCTCACTCTGCGCAAGGGGGATGATCGCACCACGTTGTGTTAAAATGGTCAAGCACCCTCGAGGCAGTTACACAGTGATTACAACTGTCTCAGGAAGTGAAGGCACAGAAAATAAATGAAGTCATACGCAGCTGTCATCCGTACGCAAGGAAGCAAGCACAAGATGCCGAACACAGTTAGCAGGATGCAGCGCATCCTTCATGTGACTCGCCGAATATCTCACGGCGCTTCGCGCTTAGTGATGTGAGAGCCTGGTCCGATGCGAACCCGGCGTGCTCCATCCCGGCTTCGTAGGGATGCGGTCAATGGTCTAACGACTACGGCATGCCGACTATAAGGACTGAGTACACCCCCATCTTTGTTGTCTCATGGTCTGTGTCATGGCCGCTGCGCGCAGCCGTCTTCCACATCCGGTGTAAGCGGGTTCGATATGCCGAATTCGGACACCGCCAACAATGGGTCCGTCGGCTGTGTGGACGAGAAGAGTTGGCTGGTGTTGTACTGCGGCGCCAACGGCAAGGTCGAGCAGGTGGGCTGGGTGTGTACTCATATACACATAGCGTGCATGTCGTAGTCGTTAGACCATTGACCACACATGCCTGCCAAGTCGGGAAAGAACACGCCAAGGTTTCACCGGACCGGACCAGGCTATGTCATCACCAAAGGCGAAGCGCCACGAGGTATTGGGCGAGTCGCATTGAGAGTGCGCTGCATCCTGCTCTAAGGGTGTTCGGCGTGGGGACAAATAAAATGACCGCCGATGCGAAACCTTGACGTGGGGGGCCGGGGCAATCGTGTTTGTTGTTGATGATAGTTGGGGGTGCCGCCGTGTGCCTTTTGAGCTTACACCGCGAGGTGTGTGGGTCCAACAGGTGTGGATAATCTTGGGGGAGTGTTTCGTTTGAGACTATAAAATCGCCGCCGCTGCTGCTGTTGCTGCTGCTGCTCCTTCTACTGTTCCCATCATCAGGCGGTACAAACAGCGAGTGAGGGGCTGAACGTGACATGGCGAAAGGAGTACTTCTCCAAGTGGTGAATGCTTTGCATCCGCCTGCAAGCTCCGCCGCCATCCTCTTCTCGGGGGGCAATGATTTTCTGTTCAGGTTGTTCCGGCCGAACAGGCTACGCGCTTGCAGCACTCTTGTTACTGGCGTGTGCGCGGGGGATACGCAAACCCTGCTGGTGCTTTTTGGATTTCTTCGGTGACAACAGTCACGGATAGTACCGCGAGTAAAAGCGTACACATGTTTGAGGCGTAGAATGAAAGCACGTGGCCGTTGACGCCAAACGCTAAAAGACGCGATGAGTTCGCGGCAGGGCAATGAATGACACCTAGCTAGCACCTGGAGGAAGGGCGAGCAGGTGTGATTTTTTGTAGACACCCGAGAGGTGTGGCGTGGCAAAGGTCGGAAGAGTGAGAACGCGTGATTTTGCAGAGACCCATTAGGCACACAATAGGTGTGGTAACGATATTGTAGGAAGAGCGAGAACGTGTGATTTTGCAGCGACACGCATCAAGGCGTAGAGACGCAACAGAAGTGTTCCCAGATCGCGGGTTGCGTGTGGCGTGTCTTTTCCCATCCGTTCGGTCTTGTCCTGGCCCAGAAAGCATCCGTCGACGACGCGAAACGAATATACACGTCCGAAGAAGATGGATGTCGACAGAAGATATGAGTTTCGGTATGGTTTAACGAGGGGCCAGTGCCCCATATGAGTGCCCGATATGAGTTTCAGTACGTTTTGACGGTGGACCAACGTTGTTGTAGTTGTTGCCTTTGAAGAATGGATAAAATTGGTGCTGACGGCCGTGGATCGGCGATCGGTACGTGGGTAGAGAAAGGGGACTCACTGCGTGCCATGTGAAGCAATCATGTTTTTCGACAGCTCCGAGAACGAGTCTTTCGGATTCGCTTTTTCAAGGTATTGCTGGCCTCCTCGTCGATATCGACCATCTTCTCGCCGGACGGGCGGCCGGTTACCCGAAGCCGCCATGACCTAAGCTACGAAGCCGGTTCCACGCAATCGCCTTGGAAATTACACCCATCACCACATGCGGAAGTACTCGGTCCGTCAGGAACCGTTGAACCTGTTGCTCGCGGCTCTATCACCGCCTAAACAAAGTTATTGAGATTTCAGGGGGGAGGGGGGATGCGGCAAAACGACAGGCCTGGCGGTACGTGTTGGGGTGGAGAACGAACGCGTTTTGAACAAACGAAAAAGCGACCTCTTCGCCGGTAGTAGTCGCTCACAGGCATCTCCTGTACGAAGGTTAGATGAGTCGTCGATAATCATCTCCACCAAAATGCAGTCTACCGTACAATATGCACACCGGCGCATCGAACACCTCTTGATATTTCGTTCCGCGTACCTGCTCGACCTTGGTGCTCGCGCCGGAATACCGCACCAGCCATGTGCTCTTGTTGAACGAGCGGCTAGCTCCAAGGTAGATGCCAGTAGGGTTGTGCGCCTCGGGCGTGGAAGAGCCCTAAATGGGTCGAAACCGAGGCCAACAGAACGCCGACGCGGGGAGGGGCGACTGAATTTCTTGCAAGAAGCTCGGGGGGTGGCACCCGCGTGACGTCTGCAAAAAGAAAGGCGAGTGTGTGTAGTGACGCATACCGCGCAAGGTGCCTACCCAGCAGCAGCGCTCGGTCGCGTAGACATCTGACCATAACGCCGTGAGCGGAAAAGCAACGACAGTTTTCCTAGTTGATCGGCAACTCGGTAGCTATGAAAGTGTTGATTTCACTTGCGAAGGTTGGTGTCGACTACCGACAGGTCAGCCTCCATGAGATCCATCTTGCATATGCGTCGGTCGTTGTCCAGCCGCGACTCTGTCTGCAGCACACATGAGAACGCACGAACCAGCACACATCGAAGTTGGTTGTGGTTCTCCTAGACAATATTGAGAAGGTGGGGGGAGGGGAAAGGTGTTCGCCTGAGTTTTCGAGTTACTTTTTGCGAGGTCCGCGGGTAGATCGCTCCTGCAACAGAATAGTGAGCACATGGGGTCGTACCGAGCAACGTGAGATCATGGTGGTCCTGTAACAGGGCGGAATGGCACATCGGGCTACGTAATGACCACGCCTGCGACAGAAAGTCCCTGCCTTGCACTGTTCCTTCCCGTGAAGCTGGACGGAAGGCACGCATGCCGCGTAGAAAGCGTGTTGACATGTCGGCATCGTCCTTACGCAGAAACACCACTGAACTAGTGACAACGAAACAACAAAAGGGCTCCGCCAACGACAGACGATGAGCACTATTGTGGAATTTCCGTGTGGATCCCGGCAGGTGGTGGCAAAGGCTGACACCGACAGACGTTAGTCTGTCCAGCTAGCTCGCAGGTAGGAGGTGATGCTACTGCTGTAGACTTGTTGATGTTTAATAGGTGCTTGCGGCCAACAAAGACTTGTAGATCACGATAGGCTTTGGCAGTCTGGGGAAGAGAAGACAGGAGAGGAAGCAGAGTGAGAGATAAGGGGGGCTTGGCTGCACCTCTTCTCTTTCTAGAATAGCAGACACACACACATGTTTTGGACTAGACTAGTTCTAGAGGCTGTTCTGGAAACTATAATAGACCGGTCCGGAGAAGTTCCGGGATCCGCAACACTTTTCCAGGAACCAAAGGGGTCCTGCGTGGTTTCCTTGAACCAACTACTGTTCCGTGCTCCAACGCCAATGAGTTTCTTTTGCGTGAGCTTGCGAAGCAGCACGGTCTCCGACTGACCGGTGTCCTGCAGCCTTACGGTGGATGTCTGCAGGCGAAGGGGAAGAAGGCGGGCGTGCCTCACCAATCGGGCACCCGCGCGGAGCGGCCGCACGATCTTTGGCATATTGATCTGTGTGGGCCGATGACGGCCTCGCTGGGGGGTCGTTTTTCATGATCATGTTCGTGGACAGCTTCTCGCGGTGGATGAAGCTGTACGGGATGAGGCGCAAGTCGGACACCCTCGCCTTCGTCAAGAAGTTCCTCGCCGGCATGAGTGGCACCGGTGTCCCTCGTTCTTTCCGGATGGACAACGGGGGGGAGTTCGTCAGCCGCGACTTCATCGCCTTCTGCGACAACGCCGGCATCCGCCGTACGTACACGGCGCCGGGCACCCCACAGCAGAATGGTCCGGCGGAGAGTGCGATCTGGCGCGTGAACAAGGCCGGCCACGCCGCTCGTCTCGAGGCACCCCGCCTGTTCCCCAAGATCGACTTCACCCGCGTCCCCGGCTTCGGGCGCGATGGCGAGCGACTCTGGCTAGAATCGTGTCACTGGGCTGCCGGCGGCTTCAACCGTTCTCCGACCAAGGCAAACGTCGGGTACAAGTCGCCGCACGAGCTCTTCACCGGTCGCCCGCCACCGCTCCAGATCGTCCCGTTCTTGCAGCCGGGGTATATGCGTGTGACGCGCGCGAGGAAGATGGATCCCCAGGCAGTGCTGTGCTGCTACCTCAACAACGGCGACAACCATCACGAGTCGGCGGTCAAGGTCCTCAAGTTCGCGACGGGGCGCGTGTGCATTACGAACAACGTCGTGTGGGTCTCCGAGCCCGCGCCGTTGCTGACCCCGCCGCTGGAGATGCCGGTGCCGGCGGGCGAGGGTGGAGATTCGGATGTCGCCGCCGCACCGTTTCTAATTGAGTACATTCCGCCGCCTCTGTTACCCCCCTCACCGTTCGCCCGATATCCCACTTCACCCGCTGCCACATCCTCACAGGCGCCGCCGGCAACTTACACACCATCATCGCCGGCGGCGCCGTCTACCGCAGCCACACTATCGCCACCGGTCACCGCGCCGCCTGCAACGCCACCGTTCACCACCACCGCGCCACGTGCAACGCCCCTCGCCGCCGCGCCACCGTTCACCACCACCGCGCCGCCTGCAACGCCGTTCGCCGTCGTGCCACCGTCTCCCGCCGTCGCGCCTCCCGGTGCCGCGCCATCGACCAACATGCCGCCGCTCACGACGAGGACCATCCGTGAACTGGACGTGGGGCGCGGGGACATGAGGGTTTCTGGGCGCACGAGGGCAGCCGCTAAGAACCAAGGGGGGGGGCGGGCGTCGTCAATGCCGCCCCTCTCTGCCAGGGCCAATCGAGAGCTGGACTTGGGACGAGAGACGCGTGTGCCAGGGAGATTGAGGGGTCGGGGGGTGCGTTTCCAGGATGGGGAGGGCGAGAGGTCGACGTCACCTGGCGGGAGCGGCGACGCTCCCGCCCACCGCTTCGGGCTTGTATCCCTGCAGGACAAGGCAACGCTCCTGTCGACTCTCACCACTCGCAGCGTCGTCGATAGGGAGAGAAAGGAGATCCTGAGATCAGCCGGAGGACGTGAAGGAGCGGAGCCGAAGGACTGCGTGAACAAGTCCATTTGCGTGCGCCACCTTGCTTACCTCCCGCAAGGACGTTGATCGCACGATGAGGGATTTAAATCCCCCGGAAGTGGCACCAGACTTGCCACATTGCTATGCCAACGACTTGCGCGTGCCCAAAACTTATAGGGAGGCTGTGTCTTCTGAGTATGCTGACTTGTGGATAGACTCTGTAGAGTGGGAGTTCAGAGGTCTGATGGAGGCTGGTACCTTTGAGGAAGTAATGTAGCAACCAGAGAGTGTTATTAAGGCCAAGTGGGTGTTTCACTGGAAGTCTGATGAGTATGGATGGCCGACTAGTGTGAAATCACGACTAGTAGCGAGAGGAGATATGCAGCGAGTACATGTAGATTGTGGAGAGACGTATGCACCGACTGCAGCGGTTTCTAGCGTTCGCTTGTTGGCAGCGATGGCATGTGAGCAAAATCTTTCTCTTCGTCATTTTGACATCAAGCAAGCATTTGTCCAGTAGGATTTGGATGGGGATGTTTTCATGCGTCTGCCAGAGGGTGTGGTAGATTGTCACGTATGATAGTGAAGTTGAACAAGAGTCTGTATGGCCTTAAGCAGGCATCAAGGCAACGGCATTCACACTTGGCGAAATGTTTGATTTTTTGGGGTTTTATTCAGTGCCTGGCGGATACGTGTGTGTTTCGGTTGATCGAGGAGGGAGGAGTGGTAGTGACTCTGGTAGTACATGTGGATGACATATTTTCGATTGGAGAGGAGGAGAGGTGTGACCAATTTGGTAGGGACCTCAACACCATGGTACCGGTGAAGAATCTTGGTGACTTGAGATGGTACTCTGGATGTTTTCATGAGAGGGATTGGGATGCAGGGACTTTGAAGCTCTCGCAGCAGACACACGCTGAAGAGTTGGGGATGGAGTTTGGGGTAAAGTACGGGAAGGAAATTCCTTTTCCGATAGGGCTGAAGCTTTCAGAGTTTGACCAGGATAAGGAAGTGGTATCATGGCCTTTTCGTGAGCTAAAAGGATCACTGATGTGGCTGACAACGCAAACGAGGCCAGATATCGCAATTGCAGTACGAGCGGTAGCACGGTACTGTGCTTCTCCCAAAGAAATTCATTGGAGAACAGGTCTTGGTATTTTGGGGTATGTGGTAAGCACGAGTAGATTACATTCAGGAGGGGTAGTGTAGCAGGGTTGAGCATGGAGGTGTTCGCAGACGAAGATTCTGCAAGCAAGGCTGCCGATAGGAGGTCTGTGTCAGGAGGCTTGGTGATGTGTGGGGGGGGATGTATTCCTTGGTTTTCAAGGACGCAGAAGTGCGTTACGTTGAGCACGACAGAGGCGGAGTATGTCTCCCTTGCGGATGTGATGAAGGACGTGTTGTTTCTGAGGCAGGTATGGCGTTGCATGTTGCCAGAAGCAGGTATGCCGTGTATTCCGGTGTTCGAGGATAACGAGGGGGCTATTCAATTGGCGCAGAACCCGATTAGCTAGAGTAACTCGAAGCACATCGACGTAAGGCACCACTGTATCAGGGAACTGGTAGGCAGGAAGGAGATTTCGATTTTTCACGTGGAATCAGCGTATCAACATGCTGACTTCCTCACGAAGGCACTTCACGTCGGAGATTTTGAGTTTCATCGTAATTTCGTGATGAGTCTGGGACAGGAACGGTAGATTTGGATATACTTGTATTTGATCAAAGAACTAGGGTGGCATTGTTTTACATTTTTGCGTATGGTCTTCTCAATGAATGGTGCCCTAGGATGGGGGGCAATTGGATCGCTATGATTATCGAAGAACAACAACTGGAATAATCGGGGATGGAAATATATTTCTAGCCCAGAAGGCAATTGTTGCAGATTTGAGTTGTGCTTTGGATTCTATTTTCTTGTGTTTTTGGAGTTATTGAAACATCATGAAGACATGGCATAGTCACAAGCAGGGGGGCTGATAGATGTACTTGTAGCAATGCCAAGTGGTTGGTACGGGATGTTCCCATGTAATGAGGTAGAGCGGAATACCGGGTGACATGTGTGGTACGTAGAATGGATTCCAGGGATGTACAAGGTACCCCTGTTGTATACGGCGTCGCCCCCTCAACGGGGCTTGTGTGTGGATGTGGATGCAACTAATCAAAACAAATTTTGCTCCTCGGCGCGAGCCCGCCGAGTTGCCGACACCCAATTCGCCACACGTCTTGCGACAAGCTACCCCCAGTTCGGATTATCCTAACAAGGGAAGGTCGTCTTCCCCAGTGGAAGAACGTCTTCGACATAGCCGTCGACAGAGGAAGGGCACTGTCGGCAGTTGAAGATCATCTTCGTCAGTAGAAGAACGTCTTCGACAAGTTGGAGACCGTCTCGTCAGCCGGAGATCATCTTCGACAGTTGAAGATCGTCTCCACCATCGGCATATCATCTTCAATGGTTCAAGATCGTCTTCGTCAGGGAGTCCGGGTTAACGCTCAATCAAATGGTCGTCGTCCGAGGTTGACGATCTCTGCGATGTAACATCGACGTTGACCTCGAAACCGGCATCATCCCTCACCAGGTTCAAATCCCTCGCGGGGTCTAACCTAGGAGGGGCGGCACCCTCCCTCTAACAGGTCTATTTTCCCGGCGTGGAATGACCTGGTGAGGGAGAAGCGAGCACTCTGCGCCTCCGTAGCATTTCTTGTGTTTTTCAACGCATATATGCTGGGGGTGTGTGACGGCAGCAGAGTGCCCGCTTTAATACGTTGATCCATTCCGCTGCGAAGCGGGCTGGGGAGGGCTAGGGTATGTCTCAAAAGATAACCGAATCAGTTGCGGACCCCCCTCTTGGGTCCGCTACCCCCCTCCCCGGCCGGGCCCCCCTACTGTGCTTCCTACGTACGTACCAGGAAGCCGACTGTGCATCGATCATATGGATTTAGTGTACATTGGGGCAAATTTCCACAATTTCTTCTTTCAAAGGGGGCACACTGTCTGGAATGTGAGATTTTTTTGCCCCAAGAACAAGAGCGGCGCGATTACATCGCACTTTTCACAACACCACACCGCATCTCATAGAAGCGAGAGGCAACGCGCCAAACGGCGGCGGCAGTGGGGCGGCCGATCGTCAGCCCAGGCTCGATCGTCATGTCTTCAGCAGGAACTGGATCACCTTCCGCCCACGGCACTCAGGCGACCAACGGGAGCGACCGCCGCCGAGCTGACGGCTACGGTGATGTCGGCCGCTGCTGAGACCGCGCCGCTGGCGAGGTGCGCACGAGGGCAGAGAGGCTGGTACACGAGCGAAGCGCAGCACGAGATCTCCGAAGCGTCGAAGGAGATTAAGGCGGCCCAGCAGCAACTGCGTGGGGCCTCAAAGAACAGCGCCTTCGAGGCGACCCTGAAGGCGATGCTCAAGGCGGCGCGGAAGAAGCGCAGCATCGCGAGGTGGAGAGCACTGGAAACGTTCTTCGAGGGCTATGTACGGCAGCTCGAGAAGAAGAGCCGCGAGGGGGATCAGGCGGGTTTCTACAGG